GATTAAGAATGCTAGTAGTCAGATGTGTAAACATCTCCATGGAGAGATTTGCAAATTCATAATCATCATACTTAATTTAGGACCAAATTAAATAATATTAACTGTAGTTGAGGAATGACTTCTTAAGTTACCACTATTATGAACCAAAGGCATTAAATTTACAAGCAGAATTCACTAGGATTCTGCAAGCCTTATGTGAACACTGGACCTCAAAACACTGCTAATCGAGCAGAAAACATTCTAGTAACACTGTCAAAAGTGTTGACACAAAGTATGGTGATAAATCTCTAGGCTTGACCTGAACACAAAAGTGAAATTGGAATGTTTATCTCAAACATTAGCAAGATTTTGGGTCCACGATTTTCATGTGACTTGCCATGAACTAGCCAAAATCACCTTTCTAGAAGACTTGCACTCTTACCCATAGAACATGCTTCTGTGTGTTGGAAAATGGCTGCATGGAAACAGAAAAAATATACTGCAGAATTTCAGCAATACTGAAAAAAATTTGTGTAAAGCAATATGATGCACCGTACCTTTCTAGGGTAGGTTCAGGATATCAGACTTTTCTGATGCCTGTTCTGAGTCACTTATTTGACAATTCAACCTCCCTATGCTTTATTTGAGTTTTTTTGAGGATACCAAGCTGTAAGTGTTTGAAGCCTAAGAGCCCTGTAACTTCTGCCAACAGATGGTACAGAAACTAAGAGCTAACACAGGGTCAAAGGAAACTTGGATGCTGAAGGACTAGAAATACACAGAAATACCACAATCAGTTCACAAGCACTGAGACAAAACCAGCTGGATGCTGGGCAAATGTAAAAGCTACCATATATATTTTTCCCTAGCTGTCTGATTTGGGCAACAATACAGGACAGGGTACTGCACTAAATGAACATTTGGCTTGACTGTGCTTATGTAAGAAACCCTTGACATGTAATTTTAACAATCAGCTCTCCAACATAAAAGAGAGTAAGCATGAATGTTACATGAAAGATTCTGCTCAAGATAAAACTACATGTGAGATACAAAAACACTGAAGCTCATCCTGCATAATTGGAAATAGCCTGGATTTTCCATTCTGAGCCCTACACATCTCCCTGTAACTATAAACAGTACAGTGATATGGTTATAAAAATGAACCATGATGACACCATTTCTATTTTCAAAAGCTTTTATCTGCTTTAATTTCCCTGTTCAAGTCAGCTATTTCTTTTAGGAAGAAATACAGTACTGCAGTACAATTTTCAGTTGAGTACCTTTGTCACCATGGGCCAAAAAGGCAGCAGGACCAGTCATTTTATTCTAGTTTGATGTGTGCAAACTATGTCAGTGTGTTTAATTCCTCTGTTTTCTACTGCTGACTTGTTTATAAGGACTAATTAATGCTACGGGGACCAAATATGTATTGCAGGCAACAACAATAAACTTTCAAAACACAACAGGAGGATAGCTGCAGGGATCAGAGGGGTAAGAGCCCCTCTCACCTCCTGTTTCACCACATACCCTTTCCTCCCCTCTCACCTTGCTGGCTACTGCTGGCCTGGCCTTGCTGGGCATTGCACAGTGCCCTCAGCTGAGGCAGGGGGCTCATTCTGCTCATGCAAGAGGGTGCTCATGACCTATAGCCACAGTCATGGGCATGCCTCTGCTGCAGGAGGTCATGGCATCACATGAAATCACTAAGAACATTCAAATTGAGGAGAGGGACAGACTGTGAGAAGTAGCCTATCCTCCTCGAACAGGAGCCCTGGTCTCCTGCTGCCTCAATAGACTGCCCAGGTGTAAAGGAAAGTCACATCTAGACACAGGCCTTCATTATTTTTGGCTACATGAAGGGAAACCATGATATGACAACTGAAATAAAATTTTTAAGGACCTATTCTTAACATACCCAGAAAGCTTCTAAGGAGTAACTTGGCTTAGAAACATCATTGTAAAGTCTCATGACAGCTAAGGCAGAAACTCAGTATTAGATTTATTCATTTATGCTCCCAAATAACTAAAAGCTCATAAAATCCTCAGATACATATTATTTTTTATGGAACAGCTCTCAAACATTCCAGTAATAAAGTGTATTTGTGCGGTTTTTTTGCTTGGTTGAGTTTTTTTTTAATTTGTGTTTTGGGTTTTTTTTAGGGGGGAAGAGTTGGGTTTTTGTGGTCCTGTTGTTTTGGTTTTGGTTTAGTGGGGGTTTTTTGGTTTGTTTTTTTGGTTTTTTTGGCTGGTTTGGGTTGTTTTTCCTTTTGAAAAGCTTTTTGTTTACTTAGATTTCCAAGGAAATGATGATAGAGAAAAGTGTGGTTTAACCTCGTTTGTGGTTTCCCACATTGCCAAACTGTGTCTTTTATACTTGCTTTTTTTACACCTTTAACCTATGTGGGTTTTTTACAAGGCATGAATCTGATGTTAAATTAAATTACTTGGTCCAGATTAAGTGACAGGGAGTGTTCCATTGCTAAGAACTGGGACTGTGATTTAAGTGATAGCAGTGGTATGAAATTTGGAAGTCTAATTATTAGGGTCATATGATGGAGAAAAAGACAGTCTAGTTAAGACTCACAATCTCAGTTCATATTTACTGCCATTTTTATGGAATTGCTGCACCAGCTGTGTCTCTACACCTGTACCTTTGACAAAGCAAGTGTTCCCTGTTCTCCTACATCTGGTTGTGAGTGACAATGCCAGCAAAAGCAAACAGTGCTCTTAGTTTTTATTTGCTTCACATTCTCTTCCTTCTTGCTGAGAGGAAAGAAAAACCATGAGGTTTGCTTTCATCATTTACATCTCCTATCCTTCCCTGGGAGCTGCAGCCAAAGGATTCATGAGGAAGGTGAAGACAGGGTGTGGGAATTTAACATTCCTAAGGATCCCTGAGAAAGGGAAAGCATGATAAACTCATGCAAAGAAGCACCATTACATTTACACGCCCTTCTAGATGATGGCTACTTTTGTTTCTCTGTGTACCTTCTGGACTATTTTGAAAGAAAAGAAAAATGCTATTAATGGGTGATGTTGTAGGACAGGTTTTTAATTTGGAGAAGAAATAAAAGAAAAAAGAGTTTTCAGAACTTTGAGTGACTTAGCATCATGCCTAAGCTGCAGATCCATCTCTAGTGCTGACTAACTGCTCCCTCCTTTGATCAGTAGTGCTTCTTCACCTTTGAGTGAGTGAGTGAGTGGGGATGTAATATTTTTATTAGATACAAGCAAAGTCATAACACTTTGTAAGAGACAATTCATTTTTCTAATAGCAAAGACAGGCAAGAAGAAGATTATATTTGGGGCAATTAAGTTGTTAGTCATTCTTCCAGAATGAGACAATCTTGCATACAGCTTTTAAAAACCTTTTTGAACTACAACACAGGAGTCATATTATTAAAAAAAAAAAAAAAAAAAAAAAAAAAAAAAAAAGCATAAATGCTGAATGTTTTACTGACTACTGAATATTAAGCAAGCACTACATCGTTAATTAAATACATTTTAAACCACTTAATAAGTACCAAAATTACTGACAGTCAAGTGACAGAGTCTTTGTAACAATTTACCTCTTACATTGATGTAAAAGGCAAAATTAACTGCTGAATATGGCAACTCAAACTGGTAAGATGACACCATAAATATTTAACGTTATAATAACAAAATAAATAAAACAATAACAAATATATAGATAATAAATTAATATTTATAATATATAATTAAATAATAATTTATAGTTATATATTATATACAATAAAATAAACAACAAAAATAACACAATAATAACCTAATATAAATAACCTAACAAAATATTTATTAGGCTATAACTTAGAATTCAAATTCTTTTCCTGAATCAGCGATATGATATCATGGAAACTATCCATGCCAAAGGATTTACACAAACATGGAATACAAGAATATGCAGTGATTATCTCTTATTGATAATCAGTAACAACAATAATATTGTTGATATTATTATAATATTATTGATAAAATTATGTATTGTCAGAAGCATTATTTTATTAATACTTTGATTTAGGTATCAAAAAAAGCAACTTCTGAGATCCAGGCAAAACTTTAAACATTTCTAAATGAAAATAGCTTGAAATTACTAAAACAGAAGATCTATAACAAAATAAGGAAATGTTAAACTACTGTGAGGTAAATAATAATTAGATGGATTTTTTTGAAAAAGGGGGAGAAGCAAAACCACAGTAATAACAGGAAGTCATTTTATCATGATTAACAGTATACCTCTAAAGAACATTTATGCTCTTAGCTATTGAAAGTAATCTGATCTTAACTGTAGAAAATAATCTGAAATCGTGAGTAACAAAAACTTGTTTACAAAGAGGCTGTCATTTCAGTAAGGCTGCGAAAATGGGAGGCTTAAATGGAAGATGCAATAGGCAGGAATGTTGTTACATTACAATTGAAATGAAAGTAATATCGCATCTGCAACAACCCATGGTAAAATCATTACTGTCATTATTTACAGATTCATGCATACTCAACAAGAAATGGGCTTAATAACATACAGAAATGTTGCAAAACTACAGTTTTGATTAAGGAAAAGGGAAATGACTAGATAAAATATAACATACTTTAACAACAGAAAGAAGGAAAGGATTACACCATGTCACTCTAACCTTTTGCACTCTTACTAGATTTCCTGATACTGCCACTGGTAGGACAGAGAAGCCAATAAAAATCTACTCAAACACAATTTCTCAAGGCAGAAGCTTTACCTGGACTGGCAGTAGAAATGACATGTAAGAACAACTGACACAGGGGACAAATGCAGCCAAGGGGAACTCACCTCATTCCAGCTGTCAAAAACTTTTGCAACTATTGATGAATAAAAAAAACCAAAAAACCAAAACTGTCTCAGATGAAGATGAATACTACTCTCTTTTTCAGTGTTGATAGACTCTTCTTTGAAACAGATGAAGATATTTTACCTATTTAAATGGGAGGTGGGAAAATGTTATTTTCAGAAAAGTGCAACACTATTTAATAAGTAATGTGACCTAAGTGGCAAACAGATGTCACAGGGAAAACTTCTGCGCAGCTAGTTTATCAAACCAGTTGGAAAGGGAAAGGCAAGTAGGGTGCAGGGTGACTGGAAGGTCTGCACCAGCCCCCTGTGGTAGGAGGAACCTCCTGTATGTCACCATAATGTTGTGTTACGCCTCAGGTCAGGGCTTCCCTGACACAGCAAGAAGGTGCTCATAAGGTGCACTTGGCAGTGATAGAGGGTGCATGTCAGAGGCAGACTCTAAAATGAACCTGGATATCTGACACTGAATTAATTGTCCTGGGTGATGACAGCTTCACAAGACTTTTGTCTGATCAAATAAAAGCACTTACTGTGGGAAGGCAGCTGGAGGTAACCAGATCAACATTTATCTAGAAGGCTACATTTTTAAGAGTCAATAATTTTCAGATGGCATTATAGCATGCTAAGACTATTATTTTTGGAGGATTAAGCCTATTAATTTATCAATTTTATGAAAGGCAATAATTGGCTCAGCAAGAAAATGCCTTCTTAGCCTTAATCATCTGCAAAAATCCTGCCTTCATGATGTGTTTTGCCATTTCATAGCATTTCTGGAGTTTGCAGACTAGCAGAAGAACAGGCACCAGGTGCTGCTGCTGCTGGGTTTTTCAAACAGGAGGTCTTTGCTTCAAATCCTTTGTGTTTGCATAGGAGCAACTGCTTCTTGATTATTCAGTGGAGAAAACAATCTGGAAAGTCAAGGACACTGGATCAGCTACCCCTGTGCAGGGAAAGAAAATAGGGAGAGTTATTGCTTTCATCCTTTTCACCCTGTTTTAGTTAAAATAGTGGGAAGAAGCTCCTGACAGAACATGCAGAAGACTTGTCCCTAAGCCTGTGCTGTGCTAAGGAGCCTTTTGCATACCTGCACAGATCATTCAAAAAGTGCTGACACTGAGTGAATAATCCTTCCTGCAGAGAAAATAATTTTTAAAAAAATGGTGCCACTATATCTGGTGGCAGTCAGTAAAATTAGGATCACACAACCATATGAAGAATTGGAGGACAATTTTCTTCTTCCACTGAGTGAATAAATCGAGTCCCAGTGCTGGCAGGAAGGCTCCAAGGCATGACAAATGAGGCTGCCACAAAGGAAAGATATCCAGGCTTCCTCTCTCTGCACATAAATCCTCTTCCAAGTCAAGTAGACTTGGTCACCAACAGAAATAATTCGTCTCTACCTTTTGTGTTGTTATTAGAACATTTTTTTAGGAATCCACATGATACCTTTACTTCAAATAAGTAGACTCAATCTCTCTAAGCTGGCCAAAACAGACAACATGCAGAAATTACAGGAACTGTGGAATCAAAATTGGCACAAGAACATAGGAGGGGCAGGGGGGGAAGTCAACAGACAGCTCCTTTACATTCTTTCATATACATTCAGAAGCAATCCACTATTAGAGTTCTGAGATATAATTCCTTAATTTAGAGAGCAAGCACATGAGTCACGACCTTCCCATACTGAGGAAGACATAAGTAGCTTCAGAAAATACCATAACAGACCATTGTTGAAAACAGTTTGGTAGGGTGAGAATCAGACAAAGAGGTAAAAGCTGTTGTTCACTCAAGAGATTACATTTTTACATCTTTAAAATGGTTTCTTTTTTTTTTCTTCATCCTATAGTACCTGCAGAACACTATTTACCCCAAGCCAAGCACTGGCAATCCATTAAAGACTGAGCAGAACTTGGCAGTACAGAAGCATCACTAACAGGTGGAACAGAAGTTCTGGGACCTTGATGGGCTGGTGCAAAGCAGCATGAAACCTTTACAAGTTTGAAATGCACTGTTCTTTTTGTTTTCTTTCACTTAAACATGAAGTTGCTTACTTTAAAATGTTGCTGAGGCGGATATATTTAAATCACTTCTCTATGTCACATGGACTTTGGTGTTGAGTAGAAAAATGCCTCTTTCCAAATCAAATTGGTCTATTATTTTAAAGTGGAGCTGTAAAAATCTAAGACACAATTAAACCATTTATGCATGCCCTGACTGCAAACTGAAAATGGGAATGTGACAAGGATAGAGCAAAATCAAAGAGAAATGCTAAATGTTTTGTTGAAAAGCTGTTCTCCATAAGCTATGGGTTCTCTTGCAGAGGCTTCCAACAGAGGTATTTGTCATTAGGATATGGGACTTCGCCAGATGAGCAGCATTGGCTCCCCAACCCAACGTTTATCAGAAAATTGGAAAGGTAAGGATCAGAAGGAAGGTAGAATGAGGATGTGTGAGCTGGGGAGTATGCCCCAGGGCAGCTCATGCCCGACAGGTGCTGGCCTGCTGCAGTCGCCCAGCAGCCAGTCACCGTGGGAAATCTCCACCAGCAGTGACAGTGTCCCCAAAACACTGCACGTGGAAACAGAGCAGCGAAAAGCTGTGCAGGCAGCAAAAGCAGGGAGACCTGCAGGCAGGGATTGGGTGTGGGATCCCACCTTCGAGGCCCCTTGGCAGACCAACAGCAATACCGTGGTCGCCTGTCGGATGCTGGTACCCAAAGGGGCGTGAGGCAGAGGGCTCGGCTGCCTTTCCGCCACAGCTTCTTGGCTCGACACCTTCAGACCTTTGCCGAAGGTCTTCAGACCTGGGAGACCTCTCGCTGCTCTATCTCCAGGTCGCGCCCATGGAACAGTAAAAGCCCTGTCGGTGCAATACCGTGGAAGGTGCCACGGCTCCACCACGGAGCACAGCAGTGGGAACGGGACCCCTCGCCAAGGGGGCTGCGCCTCCCGCTCGCCCCCTCCTCAAGATGGAGAAGCGGCACTTCCTCGCCTTAGAGCCGGCAGGAGCCCCCCTCCACTCCCTCTTGGGATGGAGCTGGACCAACCCCACCTCCCCGCCGGGGGCCGCCTCCCACCCCTCCCCTGCCGTGCCCAGGGCGGCCGCGGCTGCCCACA